GGGGGGGGGGCCTCCCTGGGCTTCAGTCGGCAGTGACAGTGGGTCTGCACAATCCTCCATTAACCAGCCGTGGGCTCGGTTAAGGCACCTACTTCAGGGGGTGTGGGGTGCTCGTGGGGGACAGGTCCCTGGGGTCCTCGCCTCAACGACCTCACGTGGCAAAGGGAAAGGCTCTGGCCTTTCCGGGTGTGAAAGGGCCGCTGCCCACACACGTCAGTGGCTGGCTTATAGCAGACGGAGGCCCAGACCCCCCCCCCGGAGGCCACCTCCGTCGACAGATGCCGAACCAACCCGGTCACTTCTGTGACGCCAGCCAAGGCCAGCTCTCGGGCCGCTGGGACCCGGGCACAGCTCTCGCTCCCTAAGTCAGTCAAACTGGACACGCCTCGGGTCCCCCTCTGCTCTCAGCCCCTGCCTCGGACCTTCCGCTGATCGTTCTGTATCGTAATGGTGAGTCGCGGACCTGCCAAGATCAAAGCCACTCACAGCCCACCTGGTTGCAATCTCAGGGCCAAGGGCCCTCAAGAGACACAAGTCACGGCTCCACCGTAGGGAGCACATCCTTCCGCTTCTTGGAGGGAAAGAGAAACTTGGGCCAAGATGCCAAGTGCAGCAGGTTCTTCCCAGTGAACTCTGGGTACAGATGTCATCTAAAATCTTGTAACTTTAGTGTTGTTCAATTTTTGTCAGAGTGATCATTCTCATTAATTTATGTATAACATATTAATACGTCTGTTCACGTAGTGACGGGAGCTTCAATTTCTCAGTTCATTAATTTCAGCGCTATTAATTTATCTCCGACTCACCGTTACAACTTTATGGTTTGGAAGACCTGTGTGTGTACACACGGCTTACGTGGCGCCACCTCTCAGTGGGCCCTGGCACCGAGTGGATGGCGGGCAGGGCCGTGGCACCCAGCCACCTGCCTCTCAAGCACCTGTGGTCTGGTGACCGCTGCTGGCTTGCAGGCCAGTCGGCGGCCCTTCGGGGCTGGGCGTCCCTCTCACGCTAACAGGTGTTGTGCAGACAATTATTTCAAATCACTGATACCTTTCCAGTTCCTTTTTTGAGCATTAGTTCATCAAAGTGAAATATGCCACCGACTTCACAAAAGGGCCAGTTTGTCTTCTCCACGGTAGCGTCCTCAGCACCCAGCAGAGAGCCTGGCACATAGTAGGCGCTCAGTAAATACTGGTTGAATGGATTCATTTTTTTAAAGGAGTAACTGGATTTGGTTTTCACCGGGAGGAGCATATACCAAAGGTGGTGTCTGAAAGAGGCCAGATGACGGCCACTTAATTAATTTCAGAGCCTGTGGGCCTCAGTCAGTCACCGAGAGCCACGTGCAAGCTCACGGGGCCTAGGGGCCCTCACGCAGCCCCACCGGCCACTGCCCAGAGGGCCCCAGCACTGGGCGGGCGCTGGGTACCCACTCCACGCGGCCCCATCTGTGGGCAGCTGTGCCAGGCGGGGCCTCCCGCTGCCCTTGGGCGGGACCTTCTCCCTCTCGCGTCTTTGAAGGAAAATCTCCTGGAAAACCAACTCCCGTGCAGCACTGGTGCGCGCACGGCCCCGGGTCTAGGTGCACGCGCCCTTCCGAGGACAGCACAGCCTCGTGCGCCCCGTGGTCCGCTAGACCAGGTTGAGAATAAAGGCTCAGGCTCAGGACAGTGAGAACGGGCCAGTTTCGAGGTGGGCGCTGCAGGCGGCACCGTGACCCACCACCCCAGGCCTGAGGCTGTCCCACTGCCTTGTGAGTCAGGGGAGCGACAGGCTTGCACCTGCCCACGCTCTCGGCTGAACGGGACGCGACCTTGGCCCCGCTGCCTTCACCACGGCCCGTTTTCCTTCCCTTGCGGGTTCCACTCCCTGCAGGTATGGGCCGCTCTACCGTGAGGACACTTAAGTCACGTTGGAAGGATGAGGAAACGGGTTTCATCCACCAAGAGGAAGAATCCGGTTGTGGGGACTGAACGAGGAGGGGGTCGTTTCCAGGAGCACCGGGTTGGGGGGTGGGTGTCGCACCGCGGCAGACGAAGGAGAGCATGCAACAGCCAGGGCCGCCCTGCCGGCAGCCCGCGGGTGGGCCCGGGGGAAGGTCGGAGCTCCCGCCCCCCAGGGAGAGCCCCTCACTCCAGCCCTGCGGCCCAGCCTGGCCTGCCCCGGGGCCCTGCGGGCGCTCCCAGGCCACGGCCTCGGGCCGGCGCGCGCCCTCACCTTGCAGCCCGTTCCCGTTGGCGCTGGTGCAGGAGGGAGGAGGGGACGCCTGGGGCCGGACCACGGGCGCGAAGGCGCTCTTTTGTTTCACTGCAGAGATGACATTGGCAGGTGAGAATGAGAAAATGCCGTGCGCACTGCTACAGTTTGAAGGGAGGGTGACCGAAGAGGCTGCCACGGTGGGGCTGGACGGCACTACTGCAACAAAGCAAACATGGTCAGGACGCGCGGCGCCAGGCACGGCCACAGCCACACGACAAAGAGCTCCAGGGCCTCGCCTGGAGCGTCGGGCCAACAGAGCAAGCACGAGATGTTTCTGGCTTGGCCACTCTCTGGATAACAGGCAAACTCTCGCGTCGGACTTTTCGTTTCCAATTGGGCGGCCCCATTTGGTGCCAATTTTGTTTGGGTTTCCAATGTGACCGCGTGGGGCCCGTTTTAGGTCAATTTACTGTCGTCACGTGGACGCCCAGCCTCCAGAGCCACCCTTCCTTTTATCCAGTAGCTCACACCACAGAACATCCAAGCAACGCACACATTTGACTTTGCAGCGAATATGAATCTGTGTGATGACGGGTGACAAAAACAGACACTTACTGCCGTAGGGAGAGTTAGCGGAGGAGCCATTAAGAAATCCAGGCGAGCCCGGGACCCCTAGATTGGCCATGGCGCCACTTCCATATCCATTCATGCTAGTGCTGACTGTGTTGTAATTGGACTGCTGGGGAGTACTGCTGGGGACGTATCCTCGCGGGGACACGCTGCTTGTATTGCGACTGTAGCCGACTGTTAAAATCCCCCCCCGGCCAAAAATAACATTATTATCAGGGAGAGACACTTGGGGGGGGGGGGTGTTTCCCCGCAAACCTCTACCATCTATTGAACGCTTTTAATTGACCGTATGCTTTCCTCCAGCCCCAGCGCCTCTCGCCAGCTCAAATAACCTTGTCACGCCAGCCCTGCTCGAGCATCCTCGTCGAGCCCCGTCCTGTCTCCGGCGGCCTCGGCAGCCGGCCCAAGCGCACTTCGATCTAACCGTCAGCGGCTTTCACGTTCCTCTTTAGAAGCAATTATCAACGGCGCGATTCCTGGGCCGTCCCCCCGCGCTAGGTGAGCTTTCGGCCTCTGCAGACCTTCAAATGCCACGGCTGACAAGGAGAGCTGTTTGTGGCCGTAAGTCCCCAGGAAAGGCTGTTCTGGGGCCTTCATGTCTACGGCTGCTATTTCTGTCGGCGTGGGGAGGGGAAGCAGGAGCCTCGCTCCCGCCGTGGGGTGAGGGTGAACGGAAGCCGAGCGGCGTACGGGGAGGCGTTTTCTGAGGTCACGGCCTGCACGGGCTTTACAGCGGCCGGAAAAGGATAAGGTGCGGGTGGGGAGCCGGCGCTTCTCTCCGTGTGCTCCTTCCAGGCTCAGAAACCAAATCCCACCCCCGACCCCTGTGCAGCACATCCAGGAAGGGTCCGCGGCTCCCTACGTCACAGCTATCCTAGGGCTTATCCCAGCCTTTCCAGGAAAGCAAAGCCCCTTAGGAATCAGTTCAAGGAAACGGCTAGCAAATACCAGCAAAGCCGTGTGGCAGCCACTGTGGCCGCTGCCTCGGGTTCCTGGCTTCTCTGAGCGTGCTCTGCCCGAGGGCCTCTCCGAACAAAGCTGCAGAGCCCGGGGCGCTGCCCACGTCCCCGCCGGCCTCAGGGCACAGTCAGCCGCAGCAGCTAAGTCCCACCATCCCAGCTGGGCGTCTGGGGAAGGGGCGGCCCGCGCGGCGTACCTTGGTCGTTGGCTTGTGACGTCTCCGACACGTTGACGGCTAGCTGGCTGCTGAAGGAGTTCACACCCATCATGCCCGTGTGTGCAGGGGTGTTGCCCAGGGTGGGGATCTGGTTGTGATTGCGAGGGACGCTGTACAACGCCTCGGCGATGTCAGCCGCTCGCTTCAGGATGATCTCCTGGGGCGGAGGCAGCCGTCACACCCAGGCCAGGCCGGCCCCCTGCCCCCAGCTCACAGACCCCCCCCCCCCCGGGGGCACAGTCCCAGCGCCCTCCACCTGGCCCTGCTGGGCAAACCGTAGGGTTACCCCACCACCGTCGCTTGGTCCAGACTGTGACAGAACGTATTTTTTAATGGGAAAAGGACCTCCCTCAGGAGAACACTTTAATACCCCATCTGTTCCTCCTGCACCCACGGCGCAAAGGCCCCTGAGGGATGCACGGGGCCAGGGCAGCACAGAGGCACTGGGTCTGGGGTCAGAGGCACGGGGCCACATCCAGAGGGAAGTCCGCCCGAGCCTCTGTTCCCCAGGGACCCCCGAGCCCCAGCAGCCCCAGTCTGCCCACCACTGGATCCACCGGACGGGCCGTGACACGGTTCTTCCTGGAGAAAGCCACCCCCTGCTTTGTGTTGCCGGCACTGACTGGTAATTTTCTACTCGAATACGCAGTGGGAGGGCACGAACGGGCGGACAGAGGCTCCCCCCATGGGACGCTCGGGAGGCCACGTGTGCCCAGGAAGCCCACGCCGGACCCAGGCCAGCTGGCCATCCAAGGTCGTGGTCACCCTGGCGGGGGGGGGGGGGGGGGTGGGGGTGGGGGTTGGGGGGGCGGGGGGCGGTGAATCAAGCTGCCATCGCCTACCTGGTTGTTATGGGGCATCCCGTACAAGGCTTCCACGAGGTCGGCCGCCCTCTTAAGTAGCACTTCCTGGAGGAAAAGCAGAGGAGGGATTTCACGGGAGGAGCCAGAGAGGCTGCTCTTGCGAGAAGGATCCGCAAACTCAGTTACATCTGCAGCGAGGACAGAACCCACCCAATCCCTCCCACCTGACTGACCCCGCGCGGAAGGAAGGCACGTCTGTGGCGACGATGGTGCCCGTGGTTTTCAGCGTCGACTCCTCGTCCCTCGTCTGGACAGGCCAGTGGGAGGCAAGCGTGAGGAAGCGCGCGCGCACACACACACACACACACACACACACACAGCGGAGATATGAAAGGCCCAGGCTCCACGTTCGCCTGTTAATTCCTAGCACTTTAGTGGGGAAGAACAATAAGTAATTTTCCATATCTTAATTAAACTGGCAGAGTCCTTAAAGACAACATCTCACCCCTAATTCACGCCCCA